AGAACTAATTTTAGGAATAGTATCAAAATAATCGTGCTTAAGTGCAGCACCTATATATTTCACGACGTCTTTGTAACAGTTTACCAAACAGCTGTGGAATGGAAATTTACAGGAACTTTTCCTCTACTTTAGCAATAATGGAAGTATTTCGCGTAGATGATGAAATATTAGCAAAATCCAGCGTGTCAGTTTTACAGCCATGTCGATGCATGACATGAATTATGAAATGAATTTTCCGTGGGGATTTTTCTAATTTTACATATTAAACAATATAAAGATTCAAAATAGGATTCATGACGACATGCCTACTATAAGTCCTTGTAAATCACTAACCATTTATGGATGTACGAAATAACTACCATACAATAATGTCTAATATAGTTCAATTTGTGGTACATTCACCTGCATACATCTTTTGTTCATTCAAAGCTAAGATCAAGTAGAGTGAATGACCGAATTGATTCAGGAAGCAGCGTAAAAAATTTAAATGAGTATGTTGGCAGCTTTCGAAGTTTCATTCCACAAGTGATGCTTGATTTCGAATTCTTATTTTTATTTTTATTTTTTTTAATTTTTATTGAGGGTTACATGTCCCAGACTAGGTATCAGTCGAGATGAATAGATTTACCACACTTTGATTTACATCGGCACGCTGGTGTTTTACGTGGGAAAATAGATTTTCCCTACGAGCAGTTTTTAGTGCTGATTTGGATGACGCTGTTGTAGATTCCTCTTAGAACTAGGCGAATGACACATTTGTTAGATGGTAGAGTGTTTTTCAAAAAGGCTCTAGAATACTATTATTTCAGAAAAGCCTTTGGAACACTTTATGCTCATTGACATGATTCTCTTTCTTTAATAAGGCCGCTGCACAGACTGGTTATTAGGTGACTTTAGGCATATTGAAACTGAATCTAGTGGTTATGTAGGCTAAGTTTAATGAATTATAATGAAGTGCCGTGATTTTCATTTGGCAGCCCACACTTGTGGTTAGCAAGACGAATGAAACGACCTAGCGAAGACTGACTCTTCGAGTGATTTCAGGTGCTGTCTACAATGCCACACATATCGAGATTGGTTCGAATCGGCAGCCTAATTGTAATTAGACGATGTACGATGACAAATCTGTATGTTTCTCTTAAGAATAAAGGTCCCTTGCATTTTAAGAATTCGCTATTTAACTAAGATGTACACCAAACTCAGTGATTATAAGTGTTTGAAGCTAGCATCACGAAGTTAAAGGTACGGTATCTTATCCATACACGACCTAGTGTTAGCAGATACCACTCCAATTTTTACAGTGCAGTCCCACTTGCTTGAAGTAATAGATGAGTTTTAATCATTGAATCCTCATATAATGACAATCAATATACATTAGTATATGTCAATCAAGTCTCATAAACAGTTAATGTCCAGATCTTGCTTCGCTGGGCCTCACGCTGTCCCTCGGATATTTTCAGAGTTCTTTATTCCTACGCCAACATATAACCAGCATAATTGGTATTACGGACTAAGGTCTAAGAACAAATACTGCAACAATAAATCACGATATTACTTCTGACAGTTTTTTCTAGGTTCTTTCTGAACAGCGACCGATGAGACGATGACTGGCAGATTGATCACCCGCGAAAATTATGGGGAGTTCGGGTTTGGGCAAACAACCATGAATTGATCGATCAATCTTCAACTTTATTGACATTATATATGCCAGAATACTAGACCATGATAGTTTGGCTTCTTTAGGAAGGTAATACAGAAATGATAGTGAAAAGGCGGATTATAAATATCATGGAAATGGGCTTTTAGTATTCTATGCTCGCCAGTGACTTGCTACAGGATGGATTTTCCTGGAGTTCTAGTGAGAAGTCGTGACCAGTGAGGTCCAATTAGATGTCACGTGTGTGGATGGATGTCCAACCAACGACAGTAGTTCGGGTCGCGCTAAATCACCAGTTGGTAGAAGTTAGAATTCATGAGCCATTGAATCGGGTCCCAGTGGCTGAATGGTATAGACACTAGCCTTGTAACCGCAAAATCTTGGGTTCGAATCTCAGTGGGTGCGTACTGCGGATGATTCCCAAACTGGGATGAATCGGCAGCTTTTCAGTACTCCCTGGTTTTCAATGGTTTTCTTACTGATATCAATCCGTGATCAACTCGTAAAAACTTTTAATATTCATCAAACACTATGGGGTATAATAACCCATGAATATAAATCATTGGTTACGCAGAGTTACTGGAAGCTGACGTATGAGGAAAGACACATCACAAAACTTAGGAAAGATCAGCCATTTCGATGCAACATTGTTGTCGAATGTGTGGCCATCATTTATATCTGGCGGTAATCTGTACCTAGGAGAGATAGGGGCAAGAAGTGGGCCCAAATATTTGCAGCCAAAATACTTGTGGTTGCGACTATCTGCTATCTATTTGTAGTAATTTATTGTACTTGAAGTATTAGTATTTCGATCTGACGGAATTATAAGAATCCAAACAAAACCCAGAGAGGGCAGCAATCAGGAATTTGTATTTAGCGGAATTAGAATGCAATTCATATATGGAACATATCAACAGTCAACAGTAAGTATTTTAAACAATACAGAGATAGAAATTGTCAATCACCACATCCGCCACACCTCGAATATCTCCTTGCGTATTTATAACGATGTCTCGGTTTGCTTGCAAGTAGCTTCGACCTAACTGATTCTGTGATATTATTTTCATCAGTACTATCTGGACCTATTTCTGAATTATCTACAAAATCAGGATTATTAGCGGAATCATTAAAATAATAATTGGAACGACCTACTTCATTTATTGTCACTTTGTCCAGGTGTCCGTTATGAACTGAGTGATCTTTGATGTCTAATATCTTCACCACTCGATTTCCCATTTTTTGTAGTATAATTCCAACAGAAGGTCTATAGTTATTATCTTTGTAATAATGTACATTAGAAGTAGTGGACATCAGATGCTTTTTGAGAATTCGAGATTTGAAAAGTTTTGCAGGACTTTCACGGGTACTTGTGTGCTCTGCATTCGACAGACGCAGTCTATGCATATGCAGTAATTCCTCCATTTTAATCAGTTGCTCTCTCATCTCATTCAGTTTTTTCCGTGTTTTCGACAGTTCGCACTGTAACTCAGCTACCTCATTTTTGAATACAGTTGATGCTTGCGTTGCTGAACTTGCAGTGGAGGTTTTCGTTGGATTAGCTTGAGTATTTTGAAAGGTTGAAAGACACATTGACTCCATTTTGCTGGACAGCTTGGGAGAATTATAAGAATGTTGAGCAACATAAGTATTCGAACTTCTGCAAACCGTCTCGATGTGTCCAACTTTACCACATTTGTGATACTTAGCACTCCGAAAACGGCAAGTGCTTCGTAGATGTAACTTTCCACAGGATAAACACGGTTTAATGTTTTTGATCTCTGGCTGCATTCTATTACCTGTGGACGGCAGTTTGGATTGCTTTCCATGACCACTTGTATTTTCGACTTTGGACAACATGACATCAGATACTGACGTAGTGGGAGCAGAGTATTCATTGTTGACATCTTCATATGTCATACATACATCTTTAGCAGTTTAAAAGGTGCGGGAAGGAATCTGAATTAACTCTTTCTCTAACTTAGGAATATTGATTCCAGCAATTAGACGATCACGTAGTTGAGTATGCAGCTGATCTCCAAAATTACACTTTGAAGCTTGTATTTGGAGTTGTAGAATAAAGTCTCTTATCTTCTGATTGAGAGAACGTACCAGTTTGTTGAAGTGAGCCCTCTCTCTGGTCTCAAATGTAGTTACATGAAAGTGATTTGTCAGAAGTTCACGGATCTTGTCATATGACATAGAAAAGGGTTTATCTGGAAATGCCAGATTCTTCACCAGGCTATATGCATCAAGCCCAATAGCGGTGATGAAATCAGCAGGTATTTTATCATCCCGAACATTCTTGGAAATGCACCACGCATCAAAGCATTCCAAATAATCAGCAATCTCCCGCGGAGAACCATTAAGAGGAAATTTTCCCAGGTTACTTAGCTCCATCGCGACGCCAATTTGTAGTAATTTATTGTACTTGAAGTATTAGTATTTCGATCTGACGGAATTATAAGAATCCAAACAAAACCCAGAGAGGGCAGCAATCAGGAATTTGTATTTAGCGGAATTAGAATGCAATTCATATATGGAACATATCAACAGTCAACAGTAAGTATTTTAAACAATACAGAGATAGAAATTGTCAATCACCACACTATTTTAAAGGCGCTTTGTTTCTACATTTGTGGCGACGGGCGAGCCTTTTTTCTCAGGACAGAAATGAGTTTTTCCTGTCCTTGTTTTTATACCAAACATCTTTGAGAAATCTTGTCATAAGTAAGGAATGCGGAGTTATTGCGCAACGTGGCCCTCTGTTTTCGTGGAGAACTTGCGGATCTAGTGTTTCTCATACCTTTATGACCCACAAGTTGAGAGCCGCTATGTTTCTGGTGACTCGCAGAAGTCTTTAGATGGAGAACTGAGGTTAACAGAATGAATTTATTCAGTATGAGAATGTTGCAGCTTCACCTACTTGCTGATGACGTTCCGATTACAGTTTATTACCCTAACTCATATCAAGGAAACTTATCTGAGCACCTTGATTAATTGACACAAATTCCGTGTCATGCAAACAATTCATGTACCAATGTCCTTGTCATGTAAGCAACCTAGAGTGCTCACGAGGTATGAGTGAGTTTGGAATGAGGCAGCAACTGTTTTAAATGGTAAGAAAAGCACCTGTTTTCTATTTCAACTATGTCGCGATAGCCAAATGGAAACTAAACTAGAATTTAGTGTTTTTTTCCCAATATAGAAAATTGAAAAATGGGCGCACTGTATAAACGAATTTCTTAGTGTGCTCGGTCATATCGATTACTCTAAACTTCTTTGTGTTAAATCTCTCTAGTTTCTTAGATACCCTCTTTCGCGGGTCCCCATTTTACTGTGATTAATGGTTTGTAATTTTCATTCTCATTTCGTGCCTTACAGGGGCAAAAACAATCAAGTCAAGAAGGAAATAAGAAAGATGACAAGGTAAGTGGTAATTTGAAATGCTCCATAGTACCAGACCAAACGAAGAGAATTCGATCCCCCAGTGCCCACCAGAATGGGTAAACACAAGCGGTCGAAGGGCCCTGATAGTGCCAACAAGTTGCCTCAGGTTACCCCGCATACGCGATGTAAACTTCGACTGTTGAAAATGGAACGAATAAAAGACTTTCTACTCATGGAAGAAGAATTTATTAAGAACCAAGAAAGGTTAAAAACAGACGAAGAACGTCATGAGGTACTTTGCATCACATTTCGAATCATTCTTTAGGAAGAAAGGTCAAAAGTAGATGATTTACGTGGCACACCTATGTCAGTGGGAACTTTGGAAGAGATAATTGATGACAATCATGTTGTTGTATCAACATCTGTTGGTAGTGAACACTATGTTAGCATACTTTCTTTCGTCGATAAGGGTATGTTGGAGCCTGGATGCTCTGTATTATTAAATCACAAGGTATGTTTTGGTCTCATCCGTCATTCTTGTTACTTAGGTTCATGCTGTTGTCGGTGTTCTGACAGATGAAACTGACCCTATGGTGACAGTCATGAAGCTAGAAAAAGCACCACAAGAAACTTATGCGGATATTGGTGGGCTTGATGTACAAATTCAAGAAATAAAAGAGTCGGTTGAACTACCTTTAACGCATCCAGAACTTTATGAAGAAATGGGCATTAAACCCCCAAAGGGTGTAATTTTATATGGCGCACCTGGAACAGGTAAGACTGCCAGTTTATCACATGTTTTTAACGAATGAGTAGCTGTTTTTCTCCAGTGGTCAGCTAAGTATGTTCAAATGACTCCAGCATTAAAATGACACCGAACAATCCAGTTAGAAGCAGTAGGGGGTATAGGAACCTTAGTAAGGAAATTAGGGTTGAAAAGATTTGTGATGATTAAAAGTAATTTCGTCTGCCTACATAAAGCTACTGATATCAGTCACAGACTCAAGTTTTATTCCTTGTCTTGGTCTAAGCCCTAAACTGAAAGAAATGATAAATCAGGTGGTAGAACATATTGAAAAGAGTAGTGACTGTGTTTGGTACATACCTGGTGATAATGTTTGGTTCTATAAAGTGTATGTGTGTGTGTGTGACTGGAGCTCCAACAGATTGTACATCTTGAGTGAAATGTCATGAGTCGATTACCAAATTTTATCCGTGCAAATATACTGCCTTCACCTTATCTCCAAAACTATGGACACTTCTCTTTGTATTTGCTCGTATGTCTTATTCCCTTGGTCTACCTTCTGCTGCTAATAAATGCTTACCTGCTTTGTCTGGGGTGGCTAATGTCGCATGTCTCGATTATCCAGTAAGTTTTTAGCTACTAAGCTGTGAACCACAATTTACAGTACTTAATGTTAGCGGATATAGGGTCAGGCTGGAAAAAAGCTAGCGGCGGTCAAACAAAAACTTGGCACCAGTCAATGAAATCCACAACAGTTGGTCTAAGCCACGTAGGAAGGTGTAGACTTCCAGGCTGGGGTCCTCGGGACGGTAAAACTCTATGGTTGGAAACAATTAGTGACATGGCTCAAAATCGTTCTCAGTGGCGCAGATGCATCCACTCCTTGTGACTTATGATCTCCAATGAAACTGTTTTGTATTTCTTTATTACTCCTTTGTCTCACACCTCTGCTCACTGTTTCTATTATGCTTTTCTTGTACTTTCTTCTCTTGCTTCGCGTGCTACACGGTGTGGCGACTTGGACTGCCGCACATTTGTGCAAAGTTCTATGTCGAAAACAGACAGACAGTACTTAACTATCTTCCCAACAGAGCGTGGTAGAGTTTAAACTACATACCTACTAGTTCGAATCTGAAAGTGTACAGATAAGTTACTCTCATTTGTCGTGGTAATATTTTCAACGCAAATTAGTTTGTATTACAGGGTTTTGCCAGTGTTAGTTGTCTGTTTTTCTGTTTCATCCCGTCTCCTACAATTTAGGGATATAACTAACAGTTCCGTGTAAATATAAATTTGCTCTGATGTCCTGTAAGTCAAAACAGAGTAGTTCATGTTACCATGCAACATAAAAGCATAGGTGAATGTCGAGAAAGAAAAAACGGAAACTGTAATAGACGGATATGCATAAGAGAGAGATAAATTCCTTAGAGAAAAGTAAGAATTTGATGGATCCGAATGAAGACATCTGCACTATTGTGTATGATTCCGAAGAATCTCTCCAAGCGTCTCGAGGGTCCCGTTCAGGCAGTCTATCAATAGTCAGAGACTTTGTGGATTAATGGTAGGTTTTGAATCGAGTACCCCTAATTCTCTTCCAGTCTGACCCTATCTCAACTAACATTGGTCGATAAGGAAAGTAATAGACTGGCATGAGTAGTGCATATCCTAGCCACTTCAGTCGATGAAGGTCCATAGATCCAACGACTTGTCTTCCATCTCTGCATAACATGCCTAAGTTCAATATTACTCACCGTTTTATAAGGCTTAATACAAGAGATAAAACGCAAACATCTGTGACCAAAGATAGCTAGCCTCTTCAAGTCTTCCACTTTCAGTGGCTATGTTTCATAGCCATGAAAAAGGATGAGTAAACAATGTTTTGCAGCACACCTCTGTTTTGATAGGTGGTCGAATATCACGTCTACCCCATTGATAGCGAAATATGGCAGGTGTCGAAAATAGCGGAGTGAATGTGATTTTATTTTCATGAGATAACCATATAAATGCGGTGTGCACATTCGGGAGGCTGTTATACAGTAATTCAGGCTTCTGTTTTCCAAACAGTTATGTGGATGTCATTTCTGTTTCATTTTAGGCAAAACGTTATTGGCTAAAGCGGTTGCTAATCAAACTTCAGCTACTTTTCTACGTGTCGTCGGTTCAGAATTAATCCAAAAGTATTTGGGTGATGGACCGAAACTAGTTCGTGAATTGTTTCGGCTGGCAGAGGAAAATGCACCTAGTATTGTATTTATTGATGAAATTGATGCGGTCGGGACGAAAAGGTTAGTTATCCAGAGCTCTAAAAATATGAAGTTGATGCGTTAATAAGTTGGAAGTGTAGGCCTTCTGACTTGCAGATTTTAACACGTTTTTTTGCTTTTTCGCCTACATGATCTGCAGTTAACATGATTTTATATACGCGTTCGTGTTTTATGAATCTATGTACCTGATTGCTATCCATTATGTTTCAGACCTGAACTGTGATCTTAATGAAAAAGTTTTAGCAGCTGGATGATGGTGTAAGGACTTACTAGGTATGCTCACTCACTAAGTCTACCTCATAAGACTTATTTAGTTGTAGATTAGTAAATGTAGTGTCATAAAAAACTATGGCTGCTTTGCCTTAATTTTGCAACTTTACTGTTAATCGCTATTTTTATGTTCTCCTCAGAAAAGGATATTGAAATGAACAAACACAAAAATGAACATGCACAGGAAAATAAACTGCTTACAATGTAGTGTAAAATGAAATGAGAAGTGTCGTTGTGGCGCTTTTTGAATAGAATTTAGTAATACTTAACTGTAGTTTCACAAAACTAAGATATATATATATATATATATATATAACTACTGTTCTATGCGTTTAAGAAATAAATTTCCTTGGTTGATTCTTTTCAAAATAGGTTGCACATGTATTAACACATGCATTCTTTGCACCTTTGTAAGTGTTAAGAATCCTGTCTCAGTTATCTTTTTTTTTCTTGTTAGTCATATCTGGCTGTTTATTAATGTAATAAACCTGTGTAGTGTTTTTCCACTCATTGTTTTGTATCCATTTGGGTCATAATCACCTCTGAATATTAAGTAGTAACATACTAATGCAAATATCCTTGTTTTTGAAAGTCATGAAAGCATTCCATATTAGTTTGTCCATTAGATATATGACTCAGTGAGACAGTATTATTTACTGGATGACGTTTCGAACACAATTTATTGTTCATATTCATATCAATTATGATCACACGACCTCAAAACTTGAGTTTTATATAGCTTCCTTCTTTCTCTACTACTTATCGTAGGGGTAGCAGAATTTTCCAGATATCCAGGACAGGTGTTGAATAATTCCTATTACACGTATTTTCAGTTGATTCGATAAACAAAGTTTCTGTTATCAACTCTCCCCTCCACCCTGCGAGATTAGATTTTAAAACTGTCATCTTATTCCATCCTATTGTATGCATAGTTGTGTGTAATTGCATGTAGTACTATAGCTGAACTGTTCTCTAGATTTCTTATCTTATTCGGGTCACCTAATCTAAATTTTGCTAGGTTTTTACACTCTGCTAGTCTGACTGTCCATTTCCTACTACTGTGACCTGAAAATCATTGCAGGTTTTATAGCTTCCACAGAATCTAATCTCACAGGGTGGAGGGGGGAGTTGATAACAGAAACTTTGTTTATCGAATCAACTGAAAATACGTGTAATAGGAATTATTCAACACCTGTCCTGGATATCTGGAAAATTCTGCTACCCCTACGATAAGTAGTAGAGAAAGAAGGAAGCTATATAAAACTCAAGTTTTGAGGTCGTGTGATCATAATTGATATGAATATGAACAATAAATTGTGTTCGAAACGTCATCCAGTAAATAATACTGTCTCACTGAGTCATATATCTAATGGACAAGCTAATATGGAATTACTTGCTACCACAGTGCCAGATTTTACACATGTATTAATTATGAAGTCATTTTTCATGGAGTGTGTTGCATCCGTGCTTCAATGTAGTTCTGATGACCGTAAGTTTGATTGTAACTTCACGTCGAACCTCTGGTAATATCATGTAATTACTGCAAATTATTTATTATCAGTACTTTAGTTTTCCCCACTTTTATATATTTCCTGTTTCCTTCGCTAAAGTTTACGCATTGTGGTAGACTCGTATAACCAGAAAAGTTTCTTCATTGTATTGTATATAGATATGAATCCAATTCAGGCGGTGAACGTGAAATACAAAGAACTATGTTAGAATTACTCAACCAGTTAGATGGTTTCGATTCTCGAGGGGATGTAAAAGTTATTATGGCTACTAACAGAATCGAAACATTGGATCCTGCACTAATCAGACCTGGCCGAATCGATCGCAAAATTGAATTTCCTCTGCCTGATGAGAAGACCAAGCGTCGGATTTTCAGTATTCATACAAGCCGCATGACCTTAGCAGAGGATGTAAATCTAGAAGAATATGTTGCTTCTAAGGATGAACTCTCAGGTGCAGATATAAAGGTGAGGCAGTTTTCCATTCAAGGAAGTATGTTAACAATCTAAGGTGCTTAAGTTTAATATTGAGCAGCATTTTGTATTGATTTTAGAAGTCATGCTGTTATCTTGTCCGTATATACAAATAAGTTACTTATCAGACGATAGAGAAATTATGGTTTTATCATATGTGAATACTCACTGTCGTGAGCATTTTTTGTCAGCATAATTTTTGGGTTCATTTGGATAAGCAAAAGAAGCCCTAAGGTAACTGGTAATGCTTTTTGATCCCATAGTCAGCTTCGGCGCAAAATATCCAACTACAGAAACTTACAGACTAAAGACTTATTATGTATTGCTCAAAAGTCAATGTAGTAGTTCAAGATGTTTGTGGAGTATCATCTAAATAATCCTCTTAGATGTATATATGACGGCTGCTGATTTTGTAGAAGGAAATAGTAATGTTTGAATTAGCAAGTTGTGATGGGAATTTTTAAACGAGTAAGCTTTCCACCCCTGTTGTTTTAATTAATTCTTATCGAATAATATATAACCGGTACCAATGTTCTGCTGCTAAACACAATTAACCACCATAGATAATTCGGTCATTGTATATTGATTGGCTCTTATTGTAAATTTTGTTTTTTGCGCCTAGGCTATCTGTACTGAAGCTGGTTTATTGGCTCTAAGGGAAAGACGTATGAAAGTTACTGACGAGGACTTCAAAAAGGCGAAAGAAAATGTTCTTTATAGAAAAAGTGAAGGAACACCTGAAGGTCTATATCTTTAACTTGATTAACTACTACTTTCTGTAAAAAAAAATAAAACTATACAAATAAGTTCTACTAACTTGACTTTTTTGTATTTGAATATTAAGTTTATACCATGTCTTACATCGGTGGATGCTATTTGTAGAATGACCGGATAACTCTGTACTAAAAATTTCTCTCAACTGATAGGTCTACGAGTTAGACTCACAATAATATGTAACTGTTACTTATTCTTTTCGTTGCGATTGGAATTTAGAGCTTCAGTGGCATATCCCCATTTCACTCGGTCCTCTGCCATCACTTTCAACAGGCTCCTAGTATATTATTCTCATAATGAGTTCAGTATTTCTGCAGTCATTTTGTCTTGAGATCACTGTGCGTCGGTGGCACACTGGTTAGGACTCTCGCCGACCATGCACATGGTCCGGGGTTCGAGCCCTCGCCGGCGCACACCTGATATCTATGGTCGGCCTGTGAAATTTGGGCTACCGATATCCATGCTGAAAATTCCATACTTGTACCAAAAATACAGTGTGGAATCAAGCTGTAATTAAAAATAAAAATAAATTTGTTCGCTACTACAGTGGAACTTGCTACCAGGACCATCGCACCTGGATACATTTCTTCACTGGATCTTAACTAGCTAACACATTCAAGGAAGAATAATGACTAAGCAGTATAAATCGTTAGTAGTGCTGGAAATCGCCTACAAAGCTCTGAAATCTCTACCGAATATTGATGAATACAAAAGGAGTTCTAAGCAGGGGCTTTTGTGATAATTCGTTTCACTGAATTGGTTTTGGACCAAATTTCATTACTGTTTAAGATCGTAATAATGAATATTGGGTGCACGATGCTAGTTAGAACTCAGCTAGCCGGAGCAGGTTTCCCGATGTGTCATGGTACAAGTTACATTTATTATATGGGGATCGATAATACTATCCAGTTAAGGTGAAATAGAGCAAGGAATGAGTCCAGGGCCTGTTGGCTGAAGTCGATGAACTACATCATTTGTCCATCTAGTATTCTAATATGATCTCACCTCATGTATCTACTGAAGAGCCATGCAACAAAGACACTGACATTTTTATAAATAACTTCTTGATAGTATTTGTTTGTGTAACATAGTGATTTCAGTGAGACATGAATTAACGTTGGGTATGGTGGAATTCTGCGCTAACCGCGGGCAGAGTACGACTTACTCAGAGACATAAGAAGCAATTACTGCTTAACAAACAAATATTTCAACCAATTGTCTAGGCGTAAACGCCTAGTTTCTACACTCAACTCTACAAATAACACCTCTGGTTGAGACTGTTTATTTGACCACTTTTTGGTAAAAACCCTTTAAAAAATGAGGTGATAAATCTCATTTCTTTTGCTCATTATTATTTATTTAAACTTAACAGTTGAAAAATCAAAACAACTATTATAAGTTATAAACAAGTAAAACAGTGAAACATAGACGTATGCACCTTTTGATATTTAGTAAACTTGAATGGTATGGAGACAAGTATCCTAAAATCTTCGATATTAAATGACCTGTTATCTTTGAAGAAATTAAGCAGATGTTTGCAGATAAAACTTAGTCTTTAGTTTTTGATGTAAAATGCAAAGCAGTCCATTTAAATATAGGAATCATATAAATAAGGTAGCTGCAATAGATTTAGAAGTGGGCTAAGTAGAATAAACCAGAATAAGGAGATACACTATGAGAAAATAAGATTTAACTATTCAGCACAGAAAAGCATTCACATGTTGGTTTCAGAATTTCATCATCAACTGACATTAGTTAGAGAACTAGAAAACCAACAGGGAGTAATGGACGGCTGTTTTGTTCTAGTTTGGGACTCTTCACCCTACGAGCTCGCCTTATGACCGGACTCCAGTGGGTGCTTAATTTTGAGGAGTTCCAAACTAGGACGGAATGGTTGTCCAGTACTCCCTGTTGGTTTTCCAATGGTTCTCTAACCGATGTCAGTTCATGATGAAATCTTGAAAAAGAAAAGTATTACATGAGGTTATGTAACATTAATACATAAAGTAACTGGATTTCTCAAGCGAAGGACATTGTTCATTTGTACTACTTACAACAAAGATATCCTTACTTTGTTCATTGTGCAAATCACTTTTCAGATGAGCAATCTTATTATGATGACTTGGGATGAAAAAGGCAGAATTATACAAATGGCAACAGGCATGACTGTATAGCTGGTTACCATTGTATCATAAGTGGTTAAAGGCGTTTATCGATTTTCTTCGTTAATTATTAACCCATTGACACTGTTTAATTATTGTTCACAAACTTATCGCCACTTGATTGGCAAACTGTTGTATTGTAATAAAAAAATGCTATATATATTAGAGTAGAGCCATAGATGATGATCTAATTGAAAAGTAAATATTTCTTCGCTCAATCTTTCTGTTTATTCATCTGTCTATAAATTTAAATCCAATACATAACTTCGGATCAATCACATACACCCGACCGAAAGCTGCTACCTTGACGTGGTGGTCGGGCTTGAACACCGCAATGACCTAATCAAGCTATACTGGCTGAGACTTATGTCTCTTGAGGTTCTACCATGCCAGGCAGGTTGTTTGGATAGCGGTTAAACAAAAAGCAGCTACCTCATCCAATACCATGATCCAAACAAATTCACAAAATTTCATGCCGGATCGGCCGTGGCCCGGATTAACAACGACCGCGCTTCCTGCTGCCGTGTCACAGGGCGGGAGTGATAAGTATGCTACTGAGGCACACAAACAAACAAAAACAGGCCGCGTGTGACCGGCCTCAAGCAGTTGTCCCCTGGGCTCTGCGGTCACGCAACCAACTTCCACGGTGTGGGCAGCCGGGAAGTAACAAACGCCCTCACAATCCGAAATGCACACAAAACCTCTCTAATCCTCACTTATCTTTGTCTTCATCTTCATCTCTATTACCTTGCCTTCCTCCACTGATGCAACTCCTCTACTTGATGGCTCCTCACTCCCTCTTCACTCTGTGTCCACTAAAAACGACGAAAGCCAAAAAACCACCACGGATAGTCTCCTAAAGCCACGCCACCAATTTCATATAGGAGCATTTAATGTTAGGACACTTTGCCAAATAGGACAACAAGCATCACTAGCTAAGACCCTGGCATCTCGAGCCATTGATGTATGTTGTGTTTCAGAAACACGCATACAAGACCCAAGTGTGGTTATTCACCTAACCCCACCTGGCCAACAGGATGAATCTTCAAAATTCACCTTGAGGGTGTCAGGAGATGCCACAGCTAGTTCACGAGGATTAGCTGGCGTAGGGATAGCTCTGAGTACTAGGGCAGAAAAGACATTGCTTGACTGGATCCCGGTAGATAGCCGAATGTGTGCTGTCCGTCTGAACGGATCAGTAAGAAGGAGAAAGGACTGCACTACTCGCCGATGCCTTTTCGTAATCTCCGCCTACGCCCCCACTGACTGCAGTTCGGATGAAACGAAGGATGAGTTCTACCAAAAGCTGTCTAGTTTGGTGAGAAAGGCTAAACGCTCAGATATAGTCGTTCTAGCTGGTGACTTTAACGCTCAAGTAGGGAAATTGTGTCAATCTGAGAAGGATGTCGGTGGCACCTATGGAGTTCCGTGCCAGCGAACCGACAACGGTGACCGTCTCCTACAGTTCTGTTCAGATAATCATTTGTTTCTTGTAAGCACTAACTTTAAACACAAGGAGAGACACTGTTTAACCTGGCGACCCCCATCATCAAACCAACGCTGGACACAAATAGACCACATAGCAATAAGCTATCGTTGGCGTGGGTCGGTAGGAGATTGTCGCTCCTTCTGGAACACGTGTGTAGATACCGATCACGCACTGGTCCGGGCTCGTGTGTGCTTACGACTGAACGGACGTAGGAAACAGCTGGCGGTAAAACCATCACGTCCCCAGCTCGATCAGGAAACTAAATCCCTATTTGAGGAAGAACTAGCTAAACACATATCTGAACTCGACAGCTGTGCTCACCCTGGAGAAGCCTGGAAGAATATTCAGTCAGCTATAGATACAGCTGTAAAAGCTGTGAATAAGGCAAATCCAAAGGTGAGTAAAAACCACTGGATTTCGACTGCCTCATCCGAACTGATAGATGCTAGAAGACTTATTCCGGCGAGCTCCGAATTCAATGAGGAGCGAAAGCTGCACAAAAGGAAACTTACTAAAAGTCTCCGCAAGGACCGTGAACAGTGGTGGGTGACAAAGGCGAAAGAGATGGAAAAAGCATTGGCGATAGGCAACACTAGGCAACTCTTTAGACTCATCACAGAATCGGGTGGGAGAAGGCAATTCATAAGTGAGACTATTTCTGAGAAAAATGGCTCCTTAATTAGCTCTCAGGATAGACGCCTTGAACGCTGGAAAGAACACTTTGAGGAACAATTTAACTTGCCTACAGCCACACTGAACCTCCCCGCCATCCACCACGTACCCGAATGGGATATAGACACTGGTCCGCCGTCTGTAGGTGAGGTTACAAAAGCTATCAGTAATTTGAAACGAGGCAAAGCGGCAGGACCCGACGGAATTATTCCGGAGGTGTTTAAATATGGGGGTGACATACTAGTTTGTAGATTAACTGAGGTACTAGGCAAAGTCTGGGAATCAGAGACAGTACCATCAGACTGGGGTAAGTCACTTATTATACCGATATTCAAGAAGGGAAACAAGTCCTCGTGTGATAATCATAGGGGGATCAGCCTAACGAACATAGTCTCTAAAATCCTAGGCTCAGTAATCATGCATAGACTAAGCAGAACTCGGGAGGAACAGACAAGGGAAAATCAAGCAGGCTTTAGACCAGGTAGAGGGTGCATAGATCATATCTTCACTCTTCGACAGATTCTAGAACATAGACACACTTTTCGGCGTCCAACAATTGTCATATTTCTTGACTTGAAGGCGGCCTTCGACTCCGTGGATCGAAAGGTACTATGGCAATGTCTGACTGTGAAGGGAGTGCCAAGAAAGTACATTGCACTA